TAGCTTTGTTCGTGAAGCCCAGCCATGATGAACTTCAAGACCAACAGTTAACATTAGTTTCCCTTTTAGAACCTGCTCAGTACTATCAATCTTTATCAGGAGAATGTCAAATTTACTGCAAAGAAATGAAAGTGTTTCTGCAAAGTTTCAAGAAAACTCAAATTATTTTATTCACAAAAGCAGAAGTCAATAAAAATATAGATATCCTGATCAGTTTTACAGACCATGTTCATTTCTTCTCTCCTTCACTGACAGGCAAAGCATCATGAAAAAACATAGTAACAAGCATTTACATCGCAAACCATTATTAACACAGATTCATGTATATGAGCAAATGTTTTGAAGTTTTTGCATATAAATACCAAAATATTACAGCTCCAACAAAACATTCCAAGAAAAACAGCTCTCGGTTTTTTCCTTTTTGTTTCTGTGCTGTACTGTTTTCGGTGATGAAGAGTATGTGCTGTCTCACTGGCATTTAACAAATTGGTTTTGGTTTAAACTGAAATCTAGCATGAGCTCACCACACTCCTCGAAGTGTTTGCTTTGAATTCCAAATCCCTTTATAGATCAAATTAGGATGTTTGTGCTAGTTTAACTCAAGTGATGCTGCATTGCTACTGACAGCATCAGGAAGCTTTTTTTTTCCCTCCTCACTACAGAGCACCCCACACAAAGACAGCTGAAGAAATCTTTGCTCCTCAAATCGAACTTCTGTCATCGGCTTCGTGTTTATGAATGAAACTGGAAACAAATCCTTCCTCTTTTCTTAGACAGAAATTCTCCATAGAAATCATGAGTGAGTTTCGTAAAATTTATACAAGTCTGGCTTTCATGACCATGATGGAAGACAACTGAGATTAAGTAACAAGGCCAATCATTTCTGGCTAGTTTGTTGGGTTTTTTAATCCAGCTAGTAGGACTAAATCCACATCTGGAAAAATTCTCACTGAGATAGACAGATCAAGTACTAATTTTATTTCATTATTCTGCTTTTTTGTCTTTTAACTTTGGGGAGATTGAGGATTTGCAACCTCCTCCATCATGAAAATAACCCTTGACAAAAATGTTTTCAAAACAGGTTACAAAATTATAAACCAAAGATTATTTGAAAGCAAAAACCAAACAGAAAATGCTGTCATTTTTCAAAAAGCAAGTACTGGACTAGGAAGACAAAACACTTGAAAACTGACTTTTAAGGAGAGGGTGTCTTGCACAAAAACCCCCCTCCAAACCCATAATTATTAGTGCTTTATTTCTGACAATCAAAACACACAATAATATTTCTGGTTATTTGCATGCAAAGTGTGTCCTGCCTCTGCCTACCTAAACTCTGTGAGCATCACAGCTGGGAGAGTGTTCGCTCTTTTGGAAAATAGAAAATCCATTTTCATACAGAAACAATTCTTGTATGCAAGAGCTATGAGAGATCATTTAGACCACCTAGCTCCTCAGGACGTGCCTAACTATACCTACATTATTTCTCATACCTTTATCTCCTCTTTCTTAAAATATCCAGCAATAGATCACTGAAAAGCAGGGACTCGGGCTTCATCCTGACTAAAAAGACCCAGCTGACAGAACTGAAAGCCCTCTTGTTGCCAAGGGGAAGCCTTCCCTTCTTCTTACTGCAGTCTGGACACCGAAGGTGGGCGACGCTGTCGCAGGACGGATTTCCAGCTGTTTTCCCGCAGAACAAAATCGAGGCTACAATCCCACCAACCTGAGTATGTCAGAATTTCCTACTTAATGTACAGAATATACAAAGCAAGATCACAGAGTACTATGTACTGAAGAACTAAAAAGCCAGGGTCTCGTCAGCAAACTCTGGCTGAAGTTTTCTGCAACTACGGGGTTCTTGCAATTACAGGCTTACCCCCAGCTGCCCCCCAGCCTGCCCTCTCTCTTGAACTTGCGCTGGGGGAAGAGCCAGGCGTAGTGCGCTCTGTCTCCTGTCACAAAAGCAGAGACCGTGCGTCACCAGCCACCATTGCTTGGCAGGACTCCAGCACAATCTTCAACATACAAACATTTAATAGAAAATTTAAATTTCATTTTACAAAATACAGATACAATACTACCCAGTGTAGCAAAATAATGGAAATGAAAAATAATTTCAAAATATTTAAAGCCTTGGGTTCTAAAATAAATATAATGCTATCTAAAAGAAGTGTTTTTTGCAATTAGGAGGAGGCAGTTCCACTATTACTGATCTCTTTTTCAACTTCTTTACAAGTTGCATAATTTATGTAGAAAAATATACAAGGCATAAAGAATAGGTTGGGTACGGAACATTTAACATAAATAAAAAGCCTAAAGCAAAACCAAAAAGAAAACCAATTGTTTTATTTCTGTACATCAAGACTACAAATAGTATTTTAACACATTTATTCCCCAAATTAAGAAATTATACATTTTTGTATGGTTACTAGTAAACATCTTAAAATCACTCAGTTTCCCCACACTTAAAAGGATATTGCTGGTTACTGCTTATTAAATATGAAATCCAACACAGTTTCCAGTAACAGCAAAATATTTTTTTGCATAAGAGATGAATACAAATTTGATTGTAAATTTTAATGATTTAAAATATAAAACTAAAGTTCAGAGGGATGCACTTATGAATCTTACAGTTTGAACTACAATTCCTTTTTTAAATTGACTGCAGTTTGCATACGAATACTCAATGATGTGCCTACTCCGAGAGGATCAGTTCCTTCCATATGAAAGCAGATTTTTTCAGATACCAAATTATATTAAGCAGCATATTCCCACCTATTTGTCCTAGCAGAAATACTGCAGGCAGATGAATATAAAAGCTGTTTAACCACAAAAAATAATGACTTTGACTAGTGTCTACAGCAAAGATATGGTATTTAAGGTGGAAAAAAAAATAACAGGGAAAAGGAATGTGAACACCACAGGCTTCAAATATAAAAGATAAAGCCTGGTAACTTTGGTTCAAATAATTTTAATAATTGTTACATATGTGTATTTTTTCAAAGTGATGATTTTTGTATGTACTGTGTATGCAATAGGAGTCTGATACATTTCAAAAAAAAATCTGTACAGACACAAAGGACAGTAACAGGACAGAGAACACATGGATAGTCACATCCACTCACCACAGTGTTCAAGTGACAATGATGCAGCCAAAGGTTAAACTTAAACTAATGCGAATCCAATTTCTCCGAAGTATTTCAGAAAGCACAAACTGAATATTTATAAACGCTTTATCTCAGTGCCTACCATCTTGAGGGAAGATAGTACAAAACCAGTTCTGCAACAACTATGATTTGTAAACAATTCTACAAGTAAAGATGTTAGGTTATCAGTAATGAGCATTTTCATGCTCATTTCTAGGATATCTGCAAACACCTGCTTCACTTCCACCTAAAAGATTAATTACAGGATGTTAGTCCTGTCTAATGCCAATGCATGGTACACAACTTTATTGCCAGTTTGGGAAATTATTTATGTTTGAACAGCACAAGGCCAAAGCTTCATCTTTGGTTAATTTCACTGAGATGTCACTGTTCTTTAGATGTGCTCCTTCTTCGCATAAACACAGAAAACAGCCACTCTGCACACGGCATTCATTGTTTTGAATCAGAAAGCAGTGTCAATGGAATATTAATTCATGAAAGCTAACTAAGAAATCGTGTTTAAAAATGAAACCTATTTGATAAGACACAGAAATTTTAGACAGAATTCCCTTAAAACTGCTTGGGTATGGGTGCTGCTTGTAGAGTAGGCACTGGTTAGTTCCTCTGCAGATCATCCAAATGAGCATCAGTTCGACTCAGCTTAATTCAAATCCAGCTGCACATTCAATGGCATAAAGAAGCTTGCTTCGCATAAGATTTTCGTCGTAAAACTCGGGAAGCTTCAGCAAGTTCATGCAGGTACTGGCAGTAGGTAGCCTGTCTAGATCAGATCCTCCATTGTGAATGCAAAATGCAGGATATAACTCCTGGAAAATGCAACAGAAAAAAAAATTATCAAAAAATATGTAACAAATCAAAACCTACTCTGTAACAGCCAGCACACATCTCTAGGAAATAAATTATTAGATTAAAACCTGTCACAACGACATATTCAAATGGCTTTTTATTTCACTTCTGGTGGCCCCAAAAGCACTCTTGAATTGCGAACTGACTCCCTCGACCTTGTCCCCATCAAGGTCCACTAACTTGCAAAACACGAAGCAATTTATTTGGTTCTAAGGAAAAATAGTAATTCCTTACTGTTCATACATTCTGTTCTGCAAATTGATGATGCTACAAAAAAAGTGAAACATGAAATGGAAAAAATATCCCAAAAACCCCTTTCAGCGTTTTCCTTCTAGAGCTTCATTTTGTTAACATACTGCAGACATCTAAAATAAATTTTACAAGTGGGTATCAAGCCATCATTGTCCTTCTACTCATCACAACATATAATGGCACTTTCTTCATTAAAATAAATTGTCTGATTCAATGCTCAAGGCCTTTCTTGCTCTAAAGAGATTTCTGTCTAAACCAATGTTTCAGCAAGCCTACAATTTCTGAATTTCAGTCAAGACGAACAGTACTGATGGCTTCAGCGGATCTATTCATGTGTATGATTAAGCAAGTATTTACACTGCCATGGTCTAAGAACTCTGAATCAGGAAGTATTTCATATTCTCCACAAAGATCTAGCTTTAATTGAAGCAATTATACTCAGTGTTTCTTCAGAGTGATTATAAAGTCAGTGGGATGATACTGATGTGCAGCACAGTGAGTCCATAACGATAAAAACTTCTCAAATACTGATTATTCTTCTGATGGGATAACTATTGATCTGAGGAACAAACTTTTAAGATAAGTTGTATGTCATACTTAATTGTTTTAATAATATCTGATTTTTTTTCTTCTGAGAAAGAGTATAGAGAAGAACCTATTTGTTTGTTACCTCTAAAGCACTGCTTTTGCTGGCAAGAAAGTATTCACTTTATCAAATGCTTGCCCGAGGTAAAACAGTTCTGATTTCAGAAACTGGAAAAAAATCCCAGCTGCAAAGGCAAAAGGTCAATGTGATTCTAAGCTAAATTATTGTTCAAATGGAAGCCTTAAAAGTATTTCATGGCTAAAATGCTGCATTTTTAGTGTTCCTTTCAAAATGCTAATTGAATTCCCTTACTTTAGCATTAAAAATGGAAAAATTAAGTTCTAAATTGAAATGTCATGCCAAGGGCACCATTTGTTGCATAATTAAATACTGTACAGCAGGAAACTGCAATAGTTTCGAAATGAAAAGAATCATCAATTTATTATGTGACCTGATTGGAACTTAACAATTTTCAACCACACTTTAATGATTTTTTTTTTCATCTGTAACAATCACATTTATTAAACTTATTCAACTTTAATTAGCTTTAGTAAATGTTATTCTGAGTCAAACTCTGACAGTGAAAGTTTTTTTTTTTTAATTATGCAAACCTAGACTTTCCTATCTATAAGGTATGAATGTCAAGACATTTCCTTATCTTAACATGCACTACCTAAGAAAACATGACGGTTCCACAAGATAAGGTATACAGAAGATTTCAGATCAAGAAACAGAAATTGTGTTCCTCTCAGAAAAATGTAACACATACACTGAAACTGTAAATAAACTGTGAAGACAGATTGTGTTAATGTTTACCATCAACACCAATACGTTCAGTTACCTGGCTGGTAACACTCCTGCTGCTTCACACTCTTCACTTCCAAAGCCCCAACCACCACCCCGTCATACGCTACCAAACACCACTGCTGAGGACAACACCAGTTACCTACTTCCTTTTCTGGTAAACACTTCCCGGCAAACCCCCAGTTTGTTGGTAACTCTGTGTTAACGAGGCACTACTGCAAGCCCCATGCCAGTGCTGACCCAGGCCCTGCTCAGTGCTGCCCAGCAAAGCAGCAGCAACGTTTTTTCACTCTGTTTTTTGTTACTGACACTACTGCATGTGGCTGAGCTCGCAAGTCCATTGCACAGTGAACCAATCTTTTAATTTATTGCTATCATGCTGAAATTCTGGTGAATATTTTACTTCCATTTTTTCCTAGCCAGGTATGTTAGGACACAGCCCGACTTCTATCTCCCAAGTACACTCACAGACTTCGCTTTCCACATTTGGCTTCTTTCTAATGTGTCACTGCTAGCCTTAGTACTTTTAGACTCTTGATTCACTTCCTTCATCTCTTCAAATGTCATGCTGGCCACCTCAAAGCTGGGTAGCTACATCTGCATTTCCTCCTCTCTCCCTGTAATTAAGAAGGATGACAACAAATGGAGACTTCTGCTTCCCGTGTTCCCACACGGCTGTTTCCCAGCTCTCCTCCTTCATTACATGACTGATGCGCGCTGCTCTATCTCGGTCTCATCCCAGAGTTTTCTAATGGTTCTTCCCATTGTCCTGTAAAATCCCATAGAGTACTGTGCAGTGATATTCACATGGGCTTGGAGAGTTTAAGAGGAATGATTGCAGGCTTTTAAATAATCAATCACATAAATCAATCAATGAATACCCTAGATAGGACTCGAGATTAAAACAGCCACCTCTATTGTCTCCATATCCAAACCTAGTCACCCCAAGACACTCTCTACTGTTAAAGGGGATGTAGTCAGTATGCTCTGTGGAATGTAAGACATGATTCATTTCACCCTGAAGTAGATACGTGGAACAGTCACACAAATTACTGACTGGAAGTGCCAATTCCTCTCTACATGCCTGTAAAAGGAGCGTAGCTGAGCTACAGACACTGGAGATGGAGGATATTCTTTCCTCACTGTTACTAACTGATTCACATACTACTGCGTGCCAACTCAGGTACACTTTTATATATTTTAAATCATTCCAGTGTCACAAGTCTGTCCCCAAGACCACTGTGATTCCAAAACTGGAGTGTCACCTTTGTTTCCCAGAGGAAAACTCTGCAAAAAAAGTAAATCATCAAACGTTTGAAAAGTCTAGAATGAACTTTGTTTAATTCATAGCAAAAAAGAGTGATAAGTGCTATGAACATCTAAGCTGTGTGTGTAGAAGAGGAAGGTGGGAGGATTTTTTTAATTTTTTACGTCTGGTATCTTTACCCTGTGTCACCCCATGACACATCACAGGAAAGGGCCCGATTCCCAGAGCTGAGAGGAAATTCTTCCAGTATTTGCCTTTTAAGTATTTAAAAAACCCCAACCAACCGAACAAAGAAACAAACCCCCCCCAAAAACTCACGAGAATGAACTTTCACAGTATGACTGAACTAAAAATTGTGCAAAAATCCAAATGCATTGTTTCTACCTCCAGGCTCTTATGTGTATCTGAATTCCTCATCCCTATGGAAAATGCTAATATCTGCCTCTTAAGTATTTCTATAATGAGAAATTGTTCATTCAATACCACTTATTTTACAAAACAGCTAATAAACTTTCAGGACTTACACAATACCTGCATTCATTTGTTGCGGGTTCATCTACCTATTTTACCTAATAAACATAGGAAATTAGTTACTATCCACTGCTAATTAAATATAGTATCACAGGACGTTATAATGCAAAAATTTACTAAGTATATGTTGTTTAGCAACTAATGTTTTTCTTACTCATAAGGAACTAGATAATACAATGCCTATATTTGTTCCATATAAGCCCACATTTGTATAATTCTACAAAATAGTACAACAGTAACCACACTGTTGACCACTGTACTAAAGGTGATGGTGTTGCTATGAAGCAGTTTATTATTTTGTTTTCTTACAGAAAAGCATTGAATGTTCCCACATTTTAGAGTGGATGAAGTCCATGGCCCGTTCTTAGCCAGAATTCTGCAACCCAGTTGAAACTCATGAGTAGAGCATCCCCAGAATTTAATTTCAAAATGTATTTAACTTGTCTTGGCCTCTCCTTAGTTTTATAACAATAGATAAAAGTTTTCTTCATACTTAAGGGTCACTGTAAAAACAATCTAAAGATAGCAAAATAGTTAGATACAAAGAGTAACAAGCTGTGATTGTGTAAGTAGATAAATGGTAATTAGAAGGAAACAAAATAACATCTCCTATTTCAAGTGGTTAATTTAAGAAGTTCAAATTTAATAGCTGCTTTTAAATCCTAAGTCCTCTTTTGCCTGATTTAAAAGACATTATCCTTAACTCAACCTGTTCCTTGAAACTGGTAGCAATACTGCTTCTGCACAGTAACATGAAATGGCAGCAAGGATCCTCCAGGAGTAAGTGCTCTAACCAATGTCTTTTAAGGCTTATCAAATTTTGCAGTTAAAATAGAAAACAACATTGCATTCAGTATTTTAAAACTATACTCATTACACACACAAATGCAAACAGTGAAATTGTTTCTGTAGTCACAGAGGAAAATTATTCCCAAATTATAAATCCCTACAGACAAGAAAAGCTTGTACCAGAACCTGCAGTATTGACAAAAAATTGCCGAGAAGCCGGGAAGGCACATACCTTAAACCCCAGAAGAGGCGGTCGAGAGCAGCTTGTTACAAACTTGAGTAGTTTGCGTTTCTCTTCATCGGTGAAGCTTTCTACAACTCTCCAGAATATTTTAATTACAGGATGGTCTGCTGTGTAGCCACCTATAATGAGATTTACATGGTTTATTGGTAGAATAGTTTTATGTAAGAAATAAATTTTTCAAAAAACCCTAAGCATCACTCTTGCAAAGCTTGGGGAAAACATAACCAGCAGGCTTACATTGCTGACTGCCAGTATCTATTGATCTCTTTGATCACTGCACTTTGAGCTTCTCATTCATTGCTTACCTCTGGCTACTACCTCCCTCAGCTTCTTAACTGCAATTTTCTTTTTTGAATCCTATTTATTTTAAATTAATTTTATTTAGTTTAGCATTTACCTGGTAACTTTGGATTACTGCCTTTTACTCTAAGAGTCTGCATAATCTGCAAGACTGAGGACATGATTTAATGCATCGACTTACCTTCAGGTAAACTCAGATGTGAACTGACAAATTAGTAACTACTTTTCATTACACTCATGATAAATCAGGGGGACAAAAATTAAATAAGATACCTTAAGATTTCTCACAAGGGAAAAATACAAGCTCTCTCTGGGCATTGGTAACTATCTGAATGTGGTGGTAGAAGCAATTATCTCAAAGTCATTTGCAGACTTATTTTCAGGACGACCAGACACAAACATTGACTAATACCCATTTAGAAAAGCAATTACACGTCCTCTAATTATCCTATAAACTTTTATTGAAGCGTGCAAATAAAATTAAAATTAGGTTCTAATTTGACCCAATCTTCTGAAATTTAAGCCTGTCTAGAGAGTTTGGCCAAAGTTAAAAACCAAAGTTAACAAGAATGACCCTACAATTTTATTTTTTTTTTTAAGCTATTATAAAAAGCAAGTTAATTTGCTTCTGAGCCAGTCATAATACATCTTTTTATAGAAGTCAAATATGCTTACCTGAATAGTTTGTGAAAGATTTAAGGTCATCCAAACTAATAGGAACCTGGGCACCAGAAATCAGAACCTAATAGTGAAGGAAATTAGATGGTGACATTAAAGGCCAAGATTAGCATTTATTTCTGTTTAAAGCAATTGTTTTCTTCAGTTTCAAGCGGAAGTACCTGTATTTCCTGTTGATCGAACATTCGAAGCCATTCAAGATTCACAACATTGGCCAGTCCCTGACGGAAAGCCAGGCAATGTTGTCGAATTTGTTTGTTTAACCTGTAGTCTGCCACCAAATGGATGTAAGCAATTCGGTTCGCGCTGGTAACGGGAATATCTTTTCCACCTGGCTTCAGCTCAACCACCTGAAAACATAACGAATTTCATCACCTTGGTCAACTTGAATTCCGTGCGCTGTAAGCGTAAAACTGAAGTGCAAAACTACAATGTGTAGTTATACGTGATGTATATATTTGGAGTTTACTAGAATATACTCAAGAATATTCACCTCAAAGCAAGGTAAAATATTACAAGGTACAAAACTATAGGGTTTTTTCCGTTTACTCGTAAAAGCACATGCTATGGCATCCAGCTTTTAGATCTAAACCTCCAGCTGCTAATGCAGCTGACCGCATGGCTCTGCCATTTATTACAAGAAAGTAGATTCGGCAAAGTCAGAGTTCTTTTATAGGAGACAGTGCGTAATACTAAATTCACTCCAAGTCAGACAGAAACTGAGGTGAAAATCTCCCTTGGTACGCTCGCCCCTAACTTCGCTGAGTGCCCTGGAAGAGAGAGGAGCCTGTATAAGCACGGAGCTCACACCAAGCACTCTCAGTCTGTCTGTGCCCGACTGGCTGGGCTCTTCTCTCACTGTTTGGTGATCCTGCAGAATTCACAGTCACAGTACGGTAAAAGCAAAAAAAAAGTCAAAATTAAGATTCTGACACAAGTCTAATTTACATAAGCATTCACAATTCCTACTGTTGAACACCCAAGTATACATGCTCAGTACTTTCAACAAAAGCAAACCACAAAGAAAAACAAAAATCAAGCCTAAACCTTGTTTTTCTACTCAGAAACTTGACTCTTGTCCTTCAAGTATATGAAGATACATCAGCATGGAAGAATTTTTAATGAAAAATCCCAAATCCAAGGATACTGCATTAAGATACCAAACAAGATCAAGGGTAGTCGTTATTAAAAGACCATTACATATTCTACTCTTTACTGCATGAGGTTAATTTTGTTGAGTAGGAGCCCAACTGGAAGGAGTTATTAGGGTACTAAGAGGCAGATTAAAAAAAATCGGAAAAGCTGAGATATTGTTACCTTCTGAAACCTTTAAAAAAATTTGAGTTTCTACACTCGAGTCAGAAATTTTAATTCTTTTTTTAAACAACCACACATTTTGGTCTGTCGTAATGAAGAGATCTTTAGAGCACAGAGAATTAAACACGTGAATATCTTCTTTTGTAACATGCTACCTGATAATTTGAGCTGTGCTAGTACTAAGCAAAACGCAAAATAGTCAGATTAAAAATTCACAGTGCTTTTGAGCTTTCAGATTTTTACTTGACTTAAGGCCAAAAGAGAACATTAAGATCTGTGAATCTGACCTCCCCGGTAACAGGCCAGAGGATTCTGTCTAGAGATTCCTGTATTTAACTCAATAAATCCACACATGAATTAGAGCACATTTTTTAGAAGCAGGCAATCCTAGTGCAAAGACTCTGTGTGATGGAGTATTTACCCCTTTCCTTGATAACGTAGAACAACCTGAATTACAATAGGTTTTAAAAATATGTCTTACTTCCCATTTTAATCCTTCAGCCACAAGGTTGTTGCTTTTGATACACCTACAATAAAAAATCCTCATCAATACTCCACCTTGTCTGTGTGCAGGTAGTACTGACTATGCTTAAATCCCGCTCCCTGAAGAATTAAGTAGAATGAAGGTGTCAGTTCAGCTGTTTCCTGGCCTGCACACATGAGCTTGCTCCCTTCTGAGAGAGTCCCCTCAAACAAAATCCACTGACAGAAGAGGCAGGACCGCTCGTAGGGGGTACAGGCCAGTACCTGGTGTCACTGATCGGCCTCAGGGTGAGACTATTTTTGCCAGTAAAGTCCACAAGGAGTATTAATAGAAGTACGGGACATGCTCCCTACTGCAGGGGAAACATCTGACGAGAAGGGGCCCCGGCGCTGTTGAGCTTTCCCATCTGCTGCTGCAGATGACACCACAGTCAGACCAGACACACGCTGCGTTTCGCCCCACTACAGCACTTTTACTACTGTCACCGGAAAGTCAGTCAACAGTTGGATTCATCTGATGATTAGAAACATTCTCACTTCCACTTCAAACCGATGCACAAAGTTTGTTCATACCCCTTGCTTTTATTTCGGTATAGTCCTATAGCCTGGCCAGCTCAATTTACATCCTTCCTCCTCAATTACACCCTTCTGGGCAGCAACTTCATTAATCTTCCCAGAGACTATTTCACTAAACTAAATTAAGTCAGGTTCCTTTAATTTCCTCCTACAAGATACTCTTTTATAAAGCCTAACAAGAGCTTTCTCTTACTTATTGATTAATGTCCTCTTCAGTGTTGCAGGATCAGAGCTACCAATGATGTTCCACATGAACAGATCATTGTTGAGACCTCAACACTACTAATAACTAACACTTTGCTACCTGCCCACTTACAATTTTTTTCTATTTGTTTTGCAGAACTACAGAATTACTTTTGTCACTGCTTCACCAAATTCCTCTCTTTGGGGTATGAACACATTGAATTTGGCTATATTAAAGCACATTTGTATCACAGAATCACAGAATTGTACTGTCACCTAACTCCCCAAGCTTCTCTTAAGAATACAGACACCAATAATAAACTAGCTAATAATTATTACTCTATTTGCATACAGTAATTTCTGTGAGCTCAGGGTTTACGCAAAAAGACACATGAACTGACTTCCTAAAACAGCAAATGGGAACTACTGGGAGGCTGTTCTAGAAAACTGCTGTGTTTTAAGACTGATGCCAGCACTAGGTGAAGTAAAACATCTAACTGTCTCTGTGGGTCAGGAGATAGAGATCAGGACACAGATTAATTTATGCTTGTGTTTGCATTATAACATTATTGTCTCCACAGCGGTCTAAGGACCTTGGGAAAGCTGTATTCACTGTACAATAAAATTCTTTCTCCCTATAACATTCTTCCTGCAAATCAGAGGGAAAAAAAAAAGTGTTGTACCCTTTCTGATCACTATTTTTAGAAAATAGAAAAAAAACCCCTATTTTTCCTTTTTTAAAAAAATATTTTTAAGTAGTAAACCTTGATTTCTTCTCCAGCAACACTTCTCTAGCTCCCCTTTCTCCCCACAACCCTGCAGAAGACTACAGCATTCAGTCAGCTGAGTTTCCTGAGGTTTTCCAGTGATCTAACTATCCACTTTCAGAGTTTGTCAGTGAAAGATTAATCTATCAGCCTTTTGTCAAAGTAACATCACAGTCTGAAACAAAAGGGCTAATGCAGTGGGAATAATAAATATATTATGCCACAAAGACTAAGAAAGACATAAAAGAAGACATAAAATATTGATGCAGTTCACTTTTTACTCATTCAATGTTTCCACAGTATTTTAAAAGAGCTATTGTAGAATTCCCACTTAATTCTAAATGTCAGGAATGATTGTCGGAGAGTTACTTTTTGAAAAGACCCCAATACAATAAAGTACATCTTGAAAGAGTTATCAGTTTGCAATTTTTTTTAATCCATCCAATTTTCGCCACTAGATGGTGCAATGTAACAACACAGGTTACACAGGATGGGCTGGAGCAGAAAAAAACTACCCAAAACGTGCAGACTTGGATTATTTTCTATTATGAAGATAAAGATTTAACCAAAAAAAAAAAATTTAACTTAGTTCATTACCAAACCCATATATTTCAAAAGCAAATCATGCTTATTATTTATATAAGTATTCGGATCATTCCGGCAATACCACAGATAACTGAATTCAATTTCATTTTCAAAAAGTATGTCTTCAAAATGAAGAGGAAATATAAAAATGGGAGAAGTTCCATATATCTAAAAAACTGCAAGAAAAGGCACTTTGCATTTTTTAGTACTGCAGTAGGCCTCAGACAGAAGGTTAGATACATTTGGAACCATCAGTTGCAAGCACTTAGGGTTTTCTTGGTTATAAACTCAGCTACATGTTTCTGCACACGTGTACTAAAAGAAGCGGTAATCAACTTACATCAATATGTTTATTCAATAAAACCATGAGTTTGTAAAAAAAGTAGATCTCTTCTATGCATGGTTGTAGTTCAAGTGAACAGTTAAGCTGATCATTCTGAGTTATTAAATTTACAATTTTAAACATTAGCAAAATAATGAAATGAATACACACCAAAATCAGAGAAACAGTGAATAACAATATTTGCCAAGCAGAATTCAGGGGATTTCTCTCCTGGTGTGTTGCTAATAATCTGCCACACAAAGTCAATTTGTAATGTGATTTACACGCAGAAAACACCACGTCTCTGTTGGCAGACAAACGTAACGTGAGCTGCTGCTCACACGCATCCGGCAGGGGCAGCCCCTTCCCAAGCTAATGGAGGAAAAAAGGAGAATATTGAGAGGGCAAAGTGTGAAATACCTTAGGAAAGAATAGGGGACTTGTCATAGCCTAGGTATTCTTTTTTGTGTGTGTGCATGAAGACATAAGATACACATCTCCAGTGCAATTTCAAAAAGCACTCTTAGAGACAGGCAAGAATTCTTACAAACTTCTTTTTAGGACAGATCACTTTTGTTGACATCATCCCTTAAGTTTTTCCCCCTTCTGAAAGTAAGTTAATAAAGGTTTGGGTTGTTGCTTCTTTTTTTTTTTCTTTCCCTTGTCATCTGCCTTCCAGATGTTCAGGCAGGAGTTCCAGGTAGAAGACTGCATCTGAATGCCTAAGCATGCGTTTGCCTTAAGTGCTATAAATCTGCCTGAGAAGGATCAGCTTCAACTTCAGTATTTTGCTTCTGAAAACGAAAGCCACTGTATCCTAGCAAAGAAGTTGCCAAGCAAGAAACTTTTCAGAAGTATTTTTAAGGCTTCAAAATTTTCTCTCGGGGACATTGAGAGGCAAAGAACTCTCCTTCAGCGACACAACGTATTTTTCAGTAACAACAATGGCGTTCACATCTGTTTAAAATGCCAAAGAAGGTGCCCTGACACCAACTTCTATCCTGTGTGGATTTTGCAGAAACTCCTGCCACATATGCCATAGTGCTTTTCTGTGGATTTGTGCCTCCACATTTTATTTATAGAGTCTTCTGGTTATATTCAAGTGCTCCTATCCATGTAATCTCAAAAATCAACGTTTGAGAAGACTCGCTGGAATACAGAAGCTAACATTTTTGAAGGAAGAGAGTATTTGAACCTTCCTCTCTTCCCTTGGACAGTCACAAAACTCATGTTCCTCATTGACAGGGAGGTCTGAAATGAGGGCGTATTTTCTTGAATTTGTTAACCTTACACTTACTATAAGCCTTTTATAACTGCTTTATCAACATCTCTTCTACAAGATAAAAGGAAAAATAAAATCAATACACACAGCTACTTGACGGCTCCTGCAATTTTGGGCTGACATTCTTTTGAGACTTTTTTACTGGCCACCAGTTCGTGCGGCAGATCCAAGAGCTGAACCTGAGGCTGGTAGCACTGCCTTAGATAGTTCTTTATCAAAAGCTAAAGCTATTTGGGGTTGGAAGATAAGGTTGATGGCATAGCTCCCCTAATTAGCAGGTCTAATGTGCAAATTATTAAGTACCTTTTTCAACTTCTGGTGAATGCACTTTGACAACAGTTTAATGGGATCTAAAAGCACATTACAGGATTGGAATCAATAAGCTGATAATAGAATTTCTACCTTCTCCTACTGACAGAGGCAATAGAGCCCCTTTTGAATGTGTCTTTCATTGCAGATAATGCTTTTGTGCCACAATTGCTGGATGGATGCTGTCATGAGGACAGCTATTTACAATGATAGATTTATGATGCATTTATTGGGCATTAATTTATTAGACACTAAAGTGGTTGTTTAACTGAAAACTAGAGATAATGTACATCCAGCATAAGCAGTGCAAATTAAGCTCTTTTCCCAAAGTGAATTAGCCTTACCTTGACACAATTAATTAGTATGCAATGGTTACACAAGTCAACTACCAGACAAAATGTATTTATCTGCATGAGGTTTATTAAGGTAATGAAATGGAAGCATAAAAAAATAACTTGTTGCATTAAAAAATAAAAGATAGTGACAAGAACTGATTAGCTCTGTTGAACTACACTAACATACAGTCTCATTAAAATATGTTTAATACTTCACAGGTATAGTGTTCTATCTCCAAGTATAAATACGACAACACAGCATCAGAATATTTAATTTAACTTACATGTCATTTAGCTACTCAGAAACTCACTATTATTTTTAATCTTCCTTTTAAAATTATGCCAAGCAATTAAAAATCAGAAGTCTTTATAATACTGGCCATAGCCCTCAGATAATTTTGACAAATCAGGCTTCTTGGCAAGAATGTACAAGTTTTTGTTGCAGTAGGTAGAGGTGCCAACATCTCTAACTCAGACCTCCTTCTATTTCCAAGCTATTCCTCTTTTCATTGTCCTTCTACCTTACTTGTTAAGGTACGTTCTAATTTGTGTGGCTAACTTCTGAGGACTCAGCAAGCAGATGTATAAAGTATGGAAATCAAAAACCCTCAAAAAAATTTTAGCTACTTTTCATTTTAATGACGGACTAAAATGGATTTGTAGTAGCTGTGAACAACTGCTTCAAATGCATTTAAATGACGGCTTTAGAATATGAACAACAGACTTTTACCCCTCCCCCCAAAAAATCATACGTTATATTGCAAACTGCCACCTTGTGCACTTTGCAACCCAGTAGCCAAAAATCCATGGTCACTACAGAACTCAATTCAGTACCAGTCCCTCAGAGCTGTACAACATTATCCAGCAGCATAGGAGCTCTGAGAAGGTGCTTTTTGATACATCTGTATCGCGTGCCTTAATTCCAAGGTTTTGAGTGTTCTGCCTAAAGGCAGTGCAGGTCAGAAGTTTTTGTATGGAGAAAAAATTACATATGGCGCGTTTGATCTGAAACATTACTCGCATCAGGCAACTGTTGACTCTCTCTTTCAAAGGGATTGGGGAATCCCAAATCTGAGGATTCCATTTTCAAACTGTAATGCAATCCAAGTTCTAGGATCTTCCAAAGTAACAGGAAATGGATGGCGGAGGAGTAAAGATGAAATCCAAGTCTGATGCTGTTAAAGCTAAAGTCTCGGACATCAAATTGCCACAATTTAAGCAGCAGTGGAGAGCTCGACCTACCAGCTGCCAGGCCAAGCTGCTGCATCTCAGTGGTGCTGCTGCTCCTGCAAGACGCGTGCAGTCCTGGGCTTCCCTGACCAACAGGCGAGCCCGAGAGCCGCCCATGCCCTTTTGGTCTCTGTTTCTTCCACAAGAAACAAGGCTCAGCTTGGTTGCTGCTCCATGTCACAACATGGCCAGGTCTACACCTTGATCCACTTACTACTTAAATACCATAATCAAGTAGAAGTAGAATATAAGTATATAAGTATATAAGAAGATAAGTAGCACACAACTTTAAATCCTCAAAAATTAATGAGGACACACGACACAAGATTTGAACTTTGAAGGTTAAGTGTATGAGCAGAAAAAGGCACACTTTTCAAGTTTTGGTGACATTTTCTACTGTGTGTGTAAGTGATCTTTAGTACTCAGAACAAATCAAAGCTGTAATCAAGTTATATAGCACAACTGCATTAAAAAAAAAAAAAAGTCATGTTCAGGGACCTAACTAACTGGTCCAAACTGCTTTTACAAGCACTGAACACCCATTTCTCCCCTTTGACTCACGAATAAAATAAAAATTAAGGTCTCACTTCAGGCCCTCTACTTCAGAAATTACAGCTAAAGGAGACAATGCTTACATCATGATAAAGTGTCATTATTTAAAATTATTCTGATTTCAAAACCAGGCAGTAGTTCTATAGTCTACATATCATCTTAGTTTTGTAATTATTTGAAGTGCTATCAAAGAAACAACGTAAATTTTATCAAGAACTTAAGTCTTGGACCATAGAGCTTTTCCTGTATGACTATTAGAAAATAATCACTGTAGTTTACTACTTAGAAGACCAGACCTTTAAGTCATCACCAAAAGTTACCTTTTTTAAGTTCAGAATTATTTATTGTCTACTCCAAATATTGTCAGAACCCCTGTGAAGCCTCACAACACTCAGCATCTTTAACACTTTCCTATCACTTTTAAATTCAAGAATGCATTAATATAGGTAATGATTCAGCAGTCATACACAAAAAAATAAAAAAGCTGAAGCCATTCTTACCTGTGCTTCCCCAAGATCATTATTCACCACAGTGAAGTTTAGTCCAAGTTCTTCCACATCCCCCTCATAGCTCTTCAGAAAAAGCAAATTTTTGTACATTTCTGGATCTAATGAAGCTAAATGATGAATGTCAACATCAGCGCTTGTCCCCAGTAATTTTGAGAGGAAAAAACTAGCAAATGGCAGCTCCACCAGCATATTTTCATAAAGAGCCTGGAAAACAAAGCAATTAAAAGCACATTATATTTTATCGTTGTGTATCCAGGAATTCTGAAATTTATTTTCTGTTTCTCAACTTTTTGGTAACTCTTTTCTTGATTTAGTGCCTGCACAGGATCTCCTAGTATGGCAACAGCACAGCTAATGTATGAATTTAAAAATATTAGTCCAAAGTTTGAAATTTGGTTATTCCTGTAAAATAGCAAGCTCTGGAATTTTACAAATTAATTATGTGGTGATTAAAGTAAGGTCACTGCTTATCTGTCATTAATCTTCTTGTCTGAGGTATGGCAGCAAACAGGGTGTGTGGCAATTGTATAGGCTGACAAGAAAAGCAAAGTTTGTTAAAGGCCGACGCAGCTGCATCAGAAACATCTTCCAAAACAAGTCAGGGTCTCTATCTGCATTAGCATCATCACAAGCAGTATTTTTCCAATCCTATCAATTGCTACATGTAAAACAGTCTGCCCCTTAAAAATAACTATGCAAATCCAGTACATTTTAAACTAATCCAAAAAACTATTTCTCTTGCATGTCATACAGATTCACCGTTGCATATTTCTGGTGAATTCCACCACTTAATGGCATCATCAAACCATCTTAATTTCCAAGCCGAGAGGTTACCAGTCATGACCAGGTCATGTCAAATCCATCCTGTGCCTGACACTGTTACACCTGTCAAAAGATTGCTGAATCTGACTTGAACATGCAGCACTCAGGAGAAACGTATTTTTACTGTAAAACGAGTTTTCAACTAATTTTTCAACAAAACACCAAGTTGGTGGGGAGTGTCGATCTGCTGGAGGTTAGGAAGACGCTGCAGAGGGACCTGGGCTGCGTCAGTGGGCTGAGGCCAACGGTGTGAAGATCAACAAGACCAAGGGCAGGGTCCTACACTT